CCAGGGAGACCGTGGGGGTGCTGCCCCTGACCGCCAGCCTCATGGACATGAAGGAACGGCTGGGAAGAATGGTGGTAGCCAGTGACAAAAACGGGCAGCCAGTGACAGCAGAAGATTTGGTGAGCTTGTCGTTCTTGACCTTCCCTAGCGACGAATGAAGATGTGTGTTCTTTTGTCAGAGTGCATTATGGGGGTTTTGAGGAAGTCTACACATGCTTCTTTTCCTGACTGTCTCAGAAATTCTTAGTTTTCTCACCGACATCTAACACATGCATATACCTGGCTGAAACCAAAAGCATATGAAATTTATTTCTTTTTTCTTTTTTTAAGAGATTTTTGCTATAGGGAATGTACGTTCACCAGAAAGACAAAGAGAGACAGTGAGACAGAAGGTGAGAAATCACCCCCAGGTGGATAGGGATGGCCATGCTGCAATCCTTTCTCCATTCTCCTCTTGGGATTTTAGGCATGCACGCGTACGTGCCCAACCTGAGTTTTAAGCCACTGGGTCTGGGACTCCAAACTCTGTCAGCTATGTGGGAGTCCAGCGACGTATCCATTATGCCATCTGCTGGTCCCTGAAATGTGTTTCATTAAGTTTTCACCCTCTTGACAGTCCCCATCTCTGCTTCTGCTTGGGGTGGGTGGGCCCCCTGAGGTCAGTGCCTTTTTAAAAATACCTCGTCTGTGCCTGGCTTAGATTCCAAGGAACAGAAACACGTGCTCTGCCTTCCTGAGTGGGAAGGTACAGTGAGGATTGGTACGTTGTTGGCACCCCTGCCCCATTGGCACCCCAGTTTATTTCCTGGCATGCCTTACACTTGGAATTTGCATCATAAAAGTAAAACTCCTCTTTGGGCTACCCTCGTCTTCTGGCTCCTTTTTGAGTGGCGTGATACTTTCTATAAAGGTTTCGTGGATCCTAGCCTCTCACTGCCTTTTTTATGCTTATTCTAATTTGGCACGTTGAGTTCTTCTCTTTAATAGCAATGTTTACTGTTAACTGAAACCCTGCTAATCCTTAGCAGTGTCACATGCTTCCACATGTTTGTAACTGCACAGGTGTGACATTGGCCCATCGGGCACTCTGAATTTACTTTTCCACATCGAGTCCCATGCAATAATAGAGTTGAAACTACACTGACTATTGGAAAACCCTCCTAAAAGGAAACAGGTAGCGGCTCGCGTGTGGCATAGGCATTGCTGAATTCCCACACATGGCCAACCACAGTTTGAGTCCCAGACTCAGCAGCTTGGAAATCATGCCAGGCATGTGTGCGTGCATGCTGAAGATCCCAGGTGGAGAATGGAGAAGGGATTGTGGCATGGCCATCCTTTCTAGGAGGTGAGCTCTCACTTTCCCTCTCTTCGTGTCTCTCTCAGTATCGCTTCCACAGGTACACACACCCTATGGCAAAAGTCTACAAAATCAAAAAAGGAAAAAGACAAAGTGACATTTTATCAATTCTAATGGCTTAGGACATAATGTGAAACCTTGGCCAAAGTGTCTTGATTATTCCTTGGCTGTTTTGAAGGAATGAATCTGACTGACTCCTCTCATAGGTTTTGTCAAGTAAATTAAATAGATGTTTTATGTCAGGAGCCCTAGGGAATACTTCATATAAGCTCAAAGAGAGACTGAAACTGAGGTTGATAAAAGGGCTACTTTAAAAAATCAACAGAAATCTCATTTCTAATACCAACATATTACAGTTTTCTTTATAAATACATTTCTCTGTATCCTGTTAATCCTAGCTAACAATAATTATGTGTCAGGAGTAGTTTAAGTTAATCCTCTAATATTTTCCCATTAAATTTATTTTTGCGTATGATGAAAATGTCAAATCTGGGGTTGGCTCTGTGGCACGGTAATAACACACTCCTCATGGAAAGAGTAAAGCCTCTGGTAATGAAAATTTAACATGTACAGAGTGCAGGTGACACGCTTAGGTGGACCGAAAGATGTTTTATGGCAACACCAGCAAGGATATTTTGGAAGAGGATTCGGACTGCTTACCCTTCACGCCTGGCCTTCTAGTGTAGCCCACACCCACTCCAGGCTCTGGTGGGGGCGTGGCAGATGAGGCCACAGCTGTAGCTGCAGCCCAGGGGTGAGAGCAGCCTGTGGGGACGTGGGCCCAGAATGCAGGCTGCTGAGAGATGGCCAGAGGATTAACGAGGGCCCAAGTGATCTTTGGTCAGAAATCTAATTTGTTTTCTCTTTCCTTTAGGGGGTGACAGGTGCTTTGACTGTTTTGATGAAAGATGCAATAAAACCAAATCTGATGCAGACCCTAGAAGTAAGTGGTTCTCCATCTGTAGTAATTGTTTATAGCATTCGCACGAACAGGGTTGCCCACCTGCCATCAGGTAACCTGAGTGTGTTCAGCCAACAGGAGTCAGATTCATATCTTGACTTAAATGACTGGGGCAGAAACTTAGAAAATCAGTATCTGTCTGGAAATTTCAATAGTTGGTATAGACACATTTACATTGAGTTTTCTAGTTGCTGGGTTGTTTTTGTTTGTTTGTTTTTGTTTTTTTTACTATTTTACTTCTTCTCTCAGAACCATTAGATTTGGATTTGGGGGTTTGTTTTGTTTTTTCCCAAGCAAAGCACATAGTAAATGTTGAGAAATGCTTTTTCAGAAAGTGTCCTGTACGGTACTTTTATAACGATACTGTTTTGGTACATAGTTTGCCTTGCTCTTCTCTTTATTGAACTGAAATGTTTTCATCAAGGTGTCTCTCTTCTCACCTAATTTTCTAGCCACCAGTTATGCTTAGTTGATTTTGGAGTTGTCTAATTTCTTCCTAGCTAATGAGATCCCAGTATTTGAACCCAGTTAAAGAGACAGTGTCTGGGTTGGATTTAGCAACTAGACAAGTGGCAGGGTAGGGGCAGGTAGGGAGATTGGAGAGACAGTGTTATACTGGTAAGTGTTTCAACAGCCAGCTTTTGGGAGGGTATACCTGGTCTATAGCCTTCGCCAATTTCTGTGGTGTAAATATTCCCACTACAGCCGATTTCTGCACCTTTTATAATGTCACTGAGCATGGAGTTGGGAGAAAATTTGCACCATCAGAGGTACAAATGAGCTATTTATCTTCAGGAGACTAAGGAAAATGGAGGTGACCAGAGGGCAAACATGTTGGGGGAATATACTAGAAAGACAAGTGGAATATCTATCCACTTATTGATTGATTCTGCTGATACCAAACTTAGTTCGAATGAATGCTTTGCCTTTCACTGTGACCTGGGCAAGTTATATAATATCGCAGCCTCAATGTTCTCCCATGGCCAAAAGTTGCTGTGGAGATTAAATGTATATTTAATACATAACGTGGACCAGGATAGTTTAGTCAACGCTAAGGACGTAGCAGTGAATGTTCCAGAGCACCTGCCCCCCGGCAGCCTTCACTCGAATGGGCAAACAATAGACAGATCAACTAATACAGAGCATGTTGGTGGGTGGTGATGACCGAAGACGGAAACCAGAGCCGTGAGGGGACCGGGATGCTGTAGGTTGGTCCCCACAGCCTTCCTGTTACAGCAGGAACTGGATAGAGATGTGCCTTGACAATGGAGCAGCCATTGAGGAATTGCATCCCAGGCCAAGGGTGACCTTTAGCTCAGAGGTCCTTGGGCAGGACCATGCTTCATAATCAGAAGGACCCAGGCAGAGACAGCAAGGGTGAAGTTAGGAGCGGTGTGACAGAAAGGGTGACAAGACACAACCGGAGGTGCTGGGAGGATGCACAGCATGAAGTGTCCGCGGAGCTGAGGAGGGGAGGGAAGAAGCACCGTCGGTGAGGTGCCTGCCCATGGGCGAGTGGGAGATGAGGTGCTACAGCTGTTAAGATGTCTCGTACCTATAGCAGGAGGTCTTCCTGCTCCTGTGTGTGTATGTGTGTATGTATGTGACCCTGTGTTTGAATGGCTATTAATGATGCTTGATGGTACATTTCTCATGGACTCCACTTTAAATTTTATTATCTCTTCCATGAACCACACAGACCCCTTCGATAGGATCTTGACTCCATGATCCACCCCAGCCTCAGCCAGACCCACATCATGGGCACTTGTGGGGCCGCCATACTGAGAGAGGTCTCTAGACTCGAACCCAGAACCCTCTAGACTCGAACCCAGAACCCTCCCACATGGGTCAGCCTTGCAGAGTGTCACAATTTATTCTTGTACTTGCATCTCATCTCAGCAGCAGGTTTTTGTTTTGTTTTGTTTTGTTTTGTTTTTAAGAGAGATTTTTGCTACAAGGCCCCTGTGTTCCCCTGAGAAACAGAGAGAAAGAAAGTGAGAAATCACCCCCCAGGGGAGACGGCCATGCTGCAGTCCTTCTCTTCTCGGGATTCTGGGTGTGTGTGTGTGTGTGCGCACACACACACACACACACACACACACACACACAGACCTGATCTAAGTTTCAGGCCTCCAAGTCCAGCACTTGAACAGCAGCCGGCTACGTGGAACTTCAGTGCCTTGATCGCTATGCCACCTGCTAGCCCCACACGGGGCATTTTAAAGCCCAGCTGGTTGTGCAGTGATTAAGAAAAATAGGATTGTTCTAGATGGGAGGTAGTTCAGATACTGGGTGGTCGGGAAAGTCATGATGCATTTTTGCATAGAAAAACATTTTTAAAAAAGTGTCATGACTTTCCCAACAACCTAATAGTTAGAAACAGATATAGACCCTAAACATACATACGTGTCCCTGAACATGCGTGTCTGGCTGTGTAGTCCTGTCTTTATTCCCACATACAGTTGTATGACCTTAGAAAGGCGCTGCGTTACTCTCCCTCCTGAGGACTTTGGGAACCCACATCGTGATTCTGATAAACCTTTCATTCTCAGCCATTTTCCTTTCGCATCTGTCCTTCCTGCTTTTGTTCGGCTCTCTCATCTTTGAAACCTGGTCTGCTCACAGGTCATCCTGGTTATGGGATTTTCCATGCTCCCACCCCCACCCCCGGCATGGCTCCTGGCTTCCTCGTGGCAGTGACAGGCAGCTGTGTTTTCCCAGGTGGGGCCAAGACCTCATGTCCACAGACCCCAAGGCCCTGGAAGGCCTGAACACAACCCGGACACTCATCCCCGTGGACAAGTTGGTTCCAGACGGAGCTCTCCTCGACTACCATCAGTTAGGAAAGGGGAAAGTGGAGAAATGGCTTTAAAAGTGGCCATTTATACAGATTTTGTTTAATGATTTTCGATTTTGTTAAGATCTAAAGTTTTGGTGACTTCCTGATACTGGATTTTCTTATGCTTTTTATCAGTGCCGTTTGCTCTGCATTTGGCTATGAGTGAACGTTCTTCCTTGATTTTGTAATCTTCTAGTTACCAGACTTCTAACATGTAAGACATTTAAACATATAAGACCTAGCAGAACTTTGAGAAAACAGAATAACAACTTTGTTATTAAAATAAAAACAGACTGGGACCAGCAGATGGCATAATGGTTACATTGCTAGACTCCCACATGGCCAGGTGTGGTTTGAGTCCTGGACCCGGTGGCTTGAAACACGCCAGGCCCATGCGCGTGCATGCCCAATATCCTGAGAGGAGAAGGGATTGCAGTGTGGCCATCCCCCCAGCTGGTGATTTCTCTCTTTCTGTGTCTCTGTCTCTCTGTTTCTCTGGTGAGCACATGCACTATATAGCAAAAATCTCTCTTCAAAAGAAATAATAAGAAACAGACCATCCTGAACGTAATCATATAGTTCGGCTGCCATGACTCAATTCATTCATTTAAAGAATTTTATCCTTACTGTATATTTTCCTCAAACCAAATCATTTCTGAATAAAACAAAACTTTATTTAAGTAAGCCTCTTTGAAAAAAAGAAAAGAGAAGAAAAGAAAAGGGGACCAACAGTTGGCATAATGGCTATGTTGCTGGACTCCCGTGTAGTCGACTACGGTTCGAGTCCCGGAACCGGTGGCTTAAACTCATGCCGGGTGCCTGTGCGTGTGTACCCAAGATCCTGAGAGGAGAATGGAGGAGAAGGGGTTGCGACGTGGCCATTCCCCCTTGGGAGGGATTTCTTGCTTTCTGTCTCTCTGTCTCTCTCTGTCTTTCTGGCAAGTGCATGTGCCGTATAGCAAAAACCTCTCCAAAAAAGAAAAGAATGGAATTATAATAGTGGGTCATATGGTAGTACTATTTGTAGGTTTCAGAGGCGCCTCCATATCACTCTCCATAGTGGTACTAATTTACATTTCCACCTACGCATAGAAAAAAATCACTTTTCACTGCAGCCCCTTGCTGTCATTTTAATTTTAGCCATTCCGACTGGGGTTGACTGGTGTATCATAGTGACTTTGTTTTGCATTTCCCTTATGATAAGAGCTATTGAGCGTGTTTTCATATCCTTTTTGGCCATCCATACGTCTTCCTTGGATTCTTGTCTGTTCGGCTCTTTTGCCCATCTTTTAATTGGATTGATTATTCTTTTTTGCAGGTAAGCTATTTGAGTCCCCTGTATATTCTGGTTATCAGGCTATCAGACTTGTAGTAGGGGATAACTGTTTTCTTAAAGCTTTGCTTTCCCCAGTTCAGCATTATTCTAAAGACATAGGGAATTTGGTCCTTTGAGTGAACTGCCCTTTTAAGTCTCTTTGTGCATTAAAAATCCAGTCTGAATAAAAGCAGACTATCTTGGGTGTGTCTTTAAAACACTCAGCAGTCTCTCTTACCTTGTTTGCTCCTAAGTGATCTTGATTTCTGTACTTTATTGGTCTTCTGTGGTTTTAATTTGTTGTACTTCATCTACAGGGGACGCCTGTGTTTGTGCATGCCGGCCCCTTTGCTAACATTGCTCATGGCAACTCTTCAGTGTTGGCCGATAAAATTGCCCTGAAGCTGGTTGGCGAAGAAGGATTTGTAGGTAAGTCATTGCTTTCAAATGTAGTTGTTGTAGATGAAAGATGATGAGCGGAATCCAGCGATGTTTATACTGAGGGAAAAGATGTTTGTTGGGACCCAGGTTTCTTAGATGGTCTCAATCTTGGAAAAACCTTGAGGTCTGGATAGTACTAGCGACACTAGGTTGTGGTCGGACTGTAGCTTCTGCTCTGGTATATGATCAAGTCCATACGAGTTTGAATGTAAGCCCTGAGACTTCCCAACTGAGTGACTTCGGGCACATTTTAATTACCAGGGAACCTCAGCGTTCTGTTCTGTGACATGGTGATAACAGCATTGTGTCAGACTTTATCGGGTTATGGAGTAAAGTAGATGAAGTTAGTTATTTGTGCAGCAATTTGTTTTCATTCAGCAAATATTTAATGTGGACCTACCTTATATAAGACACACCGTCAGCTGTGGCTACTGTGGTAAGTAAAACAGGCCCAGCCCCTGCAGTCCTTGAGCGTTCCGTCTAATGGTGTGGACAGTGGGAGAAAGTGTTGATTAAACATTAACCATTGGCTGGCCCTGTAGCCAAGTGGTTAAGGGCACCAGATCCCACGTAGCTGACTGGTTTGAATCAGTTCTGGTGGCTTGTAAAACACTCCAGGACCGTGTGTGTGCCCCAGATCTTGACAGGATGGAGAAATTGAGCAGGAAGGATGACAATGTGACCACACCAATGTGGGGGTGCTTTCTCTCCTTCCCTTTGCTGAGCGTGCACACTCTTTGGCAACATACATCAGTCAAAGAGGGACTCATGGAAGAGTACCCTGCCTTAAAACATAAGGTATGTTGGCAGATCTTCACATGCCGATAGATATGGAATTTCTCATTAGCCACATGCATGGCTACATCGAGCACAGCAGTCACTGCTTCCACACTCCCGTTCACACCTATCATCAGCCTGTAACAAACTCTGACGTGAGTTGTTTTACTAGAAAATACTCTGCTGGACGGAAGCGCTTGGCTCGTACTTTTATGCTCAGGCATCACGGAGTTCATGCAGGGTTAGGGAGACAGTTTTAAGGATTCTTTATAGACAGCAAGTTGGGATCAAATGAAGATTTATGTTATCCCACTCCTCAAAGGTCTGTATTATGCAGCCATCATGTGCTTTGCTACTTCAATACCAAATCCACTACGAGAGTGGCTAGACGTGCTGTCTAAGTGGATTTGCTCGATTGATCACACGTAATTGTAGGGCTAATGTAGGAGGCTGGCTCGGGGCAGGCAGGGAGAAGTCGGGTACTTAAGTGGAGTGGTGCTCTAATGCATCAGCTCTGCAAATAGAAAGAGCTTCTGGGGGAAGCACTCTGCTTTATGCCAGCCGTGCTTCCTGCCTCTGTACCAGCCCATTCTTTGTCAAACACGCATTAATAGAATTTGTATTATCATGGCAAAATATCTTAAAAGGTATCTGTTGATGATGCTAGCTCTCCTTGAGTATTTAGGCAAGGCATTAGCCCCAGCATGAGTTTAAGCCACCAGGTCCGGAACTCAAACAGCGGTCGACTACATGGGAGTCCAGCGACAGCCATTATGCCAACTGCTGGTCCCCTATTCTTATCTGAAAAATGACAGGTCAGACAACATGAGGAGGTGGATATGGAAGGGTAGCCACAGACTGAGTAGAAGCTGTGAGATCAGGGCCGTTACTGTCACTGTGACCCAAGTTACTTAATTTTTCTAGGGTGCAAGGTCCTCTTTGGATGAAAGGGTAACACTGGGTCAGCCCATCTTCTAGTGCTTACCGGACCTGGGTCCCACATGGCTGACCATAGTTTGAACCCCACCTCCTGCTGCTTCAAAAACGTGCAGAGCACACGTATGAGCATGTCCAAAATCCCAACAGAATGAGAATCGAGAGGGATGGTGACATGACATGCCTCACTGAGCGAGTGTTGTCTCCCCTCCCTCTCTCTGTGTCACTCTCTAGCAAGTGCTCCCCCTCTGGCAAGTTAAGAAACAGCAACAGTCAAGACATTCTAGGTAAAAGAGAAAATGATCAAATGATCTGGCAATTTAATTCCTTTGTATACCCTAGATAAGGAATAACTGGAAACATTTAAGTTCTTCAAAATGATTTAATTCTGTACACATTTACTGTGTGTCTGCTGTGTGTCAGGCACTATACGGTAGGGGCTGGGGGTTCAAGATGAATGGGACGTGTTTTTTACCCTCCCGTAGTTTATAATGTGTGAGTCAAACCAACAGGCAGGCTGTCAGAACTGAATGTGGTCTACCTAGGAGATTAAATGTCATATGGATTAACTCTGAACCTTAAAAGATAATGATTGTCTCTTAGAATTTTCTTCATATTCCTATTTTTGCAGAGGTACATTTAGTCTTAATTTTTTGTTCTATCTCAACACACAGGCAAGGGATTGTTTTGTCTACTCAGAAAAATTATTCCAAGATACAGAATCGATAGTCCATTTAGACTTAAAACAGAGTGATGTTTAATTAATTGCATGAATATTTCAGACTAGAACAAAACTCTTAATGAGAATTTTTGGAAAAGTGCTGAGTTCACTGTGATGCTTCTTTTTCCTGACTTGATGGTCCTCATGGGAGTCTCCTTAACCCCATCTACTGTGAAAAAGGCAAACCATTTTTGGTATCTATCATAACTTATTTAAAAAAAAAAAAAAAAAAGAGGAAGGAAGGAAAAAATGATACGAGTTTCTTTTTCTCTCTCTCTTTTAATTATCTCACGTTTAAACTAAGTGTAAGAATTTCCAACTTACACATGAACCTTGGGTTTTAAATTTGTTCTCTACCTTCATAGTGGGTTTTGATTCCAGGAAGACCTTGCCTTTGCTGGAGTGCCATGCACACATGTTCTTGCACACCCTCACAGCCAAGCCAGGGGTTGTTTTTAGTCTTGCTCTAGGGTGTGTGCACTCACTGGAGAGAGAAGGAAAGTGAGAAATCCCCTCCAGGGGAATGGCCACACTGCAATTCCTTCTCCTCCATTTTCTGCTCAGGATTTGGGCAAACACACACACACATATACACATGCCTGGCATGTGTTTCAAGCCCCCAGGCCCAGGACTTGAACTGCGGAGTTGGCCATGTGGCATTCTGTGACTTAACCACCACTGTGCCACCTGCTGGCTTCAGCCAGTGGATTTTATCCTGAGGGTCACCATCTACTAAATCCCTCCCATAATAAAAACACAGACTTACACATACAAATATACATGCTGCTTCTTATTATTTTTAATAACAGGAGAAAGACACCACAATTCTCACTAGATTTTCAAAGAGGGCCATGATTCAAGAAAGATAAAGCGCCATAAGTATCCCTCTTATGGCCTAATGAACATTGTCTGACCTTATCCACTATACAGCGAACTATGCCTGGATGATTCCAGCCTCGTATAACATTCATCATCCTGATCCAAATGTGCGTTTCAAGAAGCCACCTAATTGACTGCAGCTCTTTCTGCTCTCTGTAGAGAGTGACATTGACCTGGGCCGTGTGCCCCGGGAGCTTTCGTGGGACCTGGGTACAAACACACATGTAGCTGAAGGGGAATGCTAGACCGATGCCCTATTAAGACATATGCAATCTTTCCTTCGAACATCCAGGATTAAGATGTAGAGACCAGAATAAATAGCCATAGAAGTTCCGAGACAAGCTGCACAGAACTGGGAAACAGGGCCTTGTTAATCTCTTCATTGTCGCCGTGCCCGTTTTCTGAGTCTTTTCTCAGCACTAGACCTATGCTTCAGGCTGCTGTGTCTTTCCTCTTTGAATCCTTTAAACATCTCTGTGGAGTCAGTGAAGATTCCCGACTTACGGATTATGCAGCTGAAGCTTAGCGAGGTGATCACACGTGACCACGATCACACAGGCAGCTAGTGACGAGGATATACCCTCAGGGCTCCGTCTCCAAAGCGTATGGCTTACTGATTTTCTCCCCTCTCTACTAGCAGAATTAGGTTGTGGTTGGACCATAGCTTCTAATCTGGTATATGATCAGGGTCAGGTGGGTATGAATATAAGCCCTGATACATGCCAACTGATTGACTTTGGACACAGTTTAATGACCAGGGAGTCTCCTTTTTCTCTTTCGTGAAATGGCCATAAGGATATTCTATCAAAGTTTGTAAGGTTATAATGAAAAGTGGATGAGATTATGTAGGTCAGCACAGAATGTCTTTTTCATCCAGCAACTGCTTATTGAAGTTTCTGATATACTTAATTCCCACACAGTCCCATTAAAAAATCATTAGTTTCCAATGACCCATCTACGGCAGGGACCATGTTGACAAAGAGGGCCGATGTATTTCTGTTGTACGAGTGTACCACGTAGCATGTACTAACAGTGGTCGATTTCTTTTCCTTTTCTTTTTTTTTTTCTTCTGTTCTCCTTCCTACTTTGAAATTTCCTCCTTCTTAGTAGACTACTGATCGGAGGTGACCATAGAGTCCCACTCCGTGGTCTTCTTCCAGCTCCCCTTCCCCCAAATCCTTTCTGGACAGTTTTAAATCTTTCTTCTCGAACCTCAAAGAACTCTGCCACACACAGCTACTGCTGTGTTCTCTGTTTCCCTTTTTATTGCTTTCAAATTCTAAATACGCTTTCATTTTGGTAGAGGAAAGCCAGACCAAGCTAAACATTCCTATAGTTTTATCCACCCTTTAAGAAAAATCTGACGTCAAGTGATCTTCGAGCTTCTCAGCTTTAATTCTCCCAGACCTCACCCTGTTTACATTATTTAAAAACACTGATCTCAGCCTGGACTCCACTTTTGTTTTATTTCCAAATTCTTCCTTTAGTAACCATGTTCATAATTAAATCAAGGCTGAGAGGGCTTGGTTATTGGAGACCGTGGTGAGGGTCATGTCCTCATCCTGGGGATGTTTTAGCTGCGTATCCAGGAAAGCCTTGATTCCATGGAAAGGTGGGCTCGCGTTGTCCCTGGGGCTCTGATTTCTCTAGTATCAGGTGGTACGGAATCTTCTTC